TTCTCGACTAGTTTATCAACTCCACCAACATCAACATCGTGCAAATGCTTGCTTCTCATTTCCGCACGAATTTGTCTAGGAGATGAAATACCAGTAGTTTGTTCACTTGCATGCATCGATTGTGGGTTTTTTGGTGGTGATTTTGGTGTTAAAACACCCAAATCAAAGGTTGGAATATCAGCTAATATAGCTTTTGATGATTTTTTTGGGGGAGTGTTGGTTTTTTTCATGATTTAGGAGTTGAAGACAAAGATGGAAGTGAATTCAAATCGTGGGGGATACTATCAACTGAAGGTAATTAAGTGGAGAAAAAAGTGATGGTAATTGTGGGTGAGAAGAGATTGTACGAGAATGGAGGAAAAACTGAAGGTAAATCGTGGGGGTGGGGGGGAATTAACTGAAGGTAAATCGTAGGGGGTATGGGGGGTGGGAGGAGAGAGAGGCGGGTAAACCAAATAACGTGAAAATACAGTCCTAAAATCACGCCTAAAATAAATGAAGGAATAATTATACCCTTAATTTGAATTATGGTATAGAAATGGTAATTTGGTATGCTTAAATGTAATAAACACAAACCTTAAACATTGAGGGTAATAAGGTTTGATACATGGTATAGATAGGTAAAAATCCCTTTATAAAAACTATAACAATACGTGTACAAAAGATAACCATTTCCCTAGAACACGAGGAATTGTCCAATTTTATCTCTATAAGGGAAACAACCCAAATGGCATTATTACAGGAAAAAAATAGGAATACACGACCGTTTAGTTCTAAAGAATGTAGTACTAACGCCGTCATTCAGAGGAAAACAGATTGTTCATTCTTTCGTCGTTAACTTTGTTCTCTCCTTTATCGGCGCGGGAGGAGATGTGCTTTTAAGATTAGCCAAATAAAATACGAAGAAAAAATTAATATGACCCCTACAGGATGACATGCCAAATTGGGAAACAGTCCAAATGTATGTTTAGAAAAAATAATAACAATAATTTAAAAAAAAAAACAGAAGTCGATGACGTTGATATAGCAAATAGGAAACTAAAATCACTTCACATCAAAGGAAATGGATAAATTACAGATGAGCTTCCATATAGCGTGAACTTATCTCCAATTCAACTTTGAAGCATCATTCTAGGTCGGCTCGAATAGAAATAGAACACTAACGCTCTGAATGGTGCAACATTTCAAGCATAGAAACAGACTAATCCAGGCATTTGTTCCATCTTCACTGAAAGTATATAGACGTCTTTAACCAACTCTAGGTGGGCCAAACACAAGGCAAAGATGCACTGTTTACAGCATTACAGTTGGCTAAATTGAAATAACAATGATAATCCGTCTATGCCCCATCTGGCTGGACAAAAGGATTGGAAATCTCATCTGTACCATCAGTTGGAGCCACGAGCATTACTGCCGTACCCCTGCAGACCTGCACAAGAAAGGGACGCTTTGAGAAGCAGAGGAAAGTGATCAGATTATGTTAACGTCCACATTAGCTACCATAGCTGTGATAAATTCTTCAACCAAAGTTGTGGCACTTCTTTGAAAGGCATATATTCTTTGAGAGACATATAGCATAGTAACTACTTCAAAATTCAAGATAACAGTAGAATTGTTTTAATGCAGTTCGAACACTTGATAAAACAATTTAGGAAAACAATGCCATGACTTCTCATGTATAACTTCTGCCCTCCCCAAACTGTTAAAAAGGTAAAAAAGCAAATGGAAAAAAAGAACGCAAGAAATTCACAAGTGTGTTTAATGATGGTCCCAGTAGTTGAATATAAGCAGCATTTAGAAAAGCTTATTGCAAATTATGTGCATTAGTGGAAAGCAGAAAACTACTACATATGTATGATAATTAATGAACCCATACTATTAAGCCAAGAGCTCGTGTCTGCTCGGTAGTCTTCAGGGGATCATCAGCATCTACAGCAAAACAATTTGAAATCATCAACTGAACAATGAAAGAGATTAAAAGAAAAACGATTAACATGTCCCATGAAAGGTAACCTTGGTTTTTCTGGAAACATTAGAATGATCAATTTGATGAATAGCTGCTAAGATAACTAGTAAAATAATTTGCTGTCCCATTGTACTGAAATAAAGAATCTGGAGAAAGGGATGACAATCTGTGAAGTCAGCTAGATTTGCCTCCAGCAAGTACACATCAAGAATAAGCAAGCATTCATTTCCCAAAGGAAAGGAGAATTAGTTAAAATATGGTCCAAACCCGCAGCGTCGGAGGCTGCTTCTTAGAAATGAATTGTGCATTATCTATTCCTTCTCGAAGGTTGTTAATTACCAAATTCACCCTAAATACTCCAAGTTAAACTTGATACATTAGCAAACTAGTTTCATGTGCCAGATCAAACCAAGAGCTCTTATAAACAAAACTGTACTAAATTTTTCAAAATAGACTAAGTTTACATGAAGTTCTCAATAACAGGCTCCCATTGAAGAAGCACAAACTGGCAAAGCATGTAATCTCCTTTTACATTAACGGTTGCGACCCACAGATGCAACATAGAGAAAGAAGGCAGGAGGTGGCTCGTCTCTACATAGATCATGAAACTCTGACAAATAAAGCAGACGCATGAATGCAGCATGTAAAAAGATATGACCCAATACTAAGTTGAAACAGTGCTTTGGAAGTGTAGGGCAACACTGCAAATTCTGAATCCTTAGTAAGAGGGCAGGAGAGGCAACTTATCTCTTCTGATGCTTAGGGCTACCCAAATATGATAATATAGGTGTAATAGAAGTGCTAAAATACTTTATTTTTCAACACGAAACTAGAGCAGAGTACAGTGGCAAATTGCTTCAACATTTCAGTTTGATAAAGCTGCACTGACATCCCTCTTATTTTTTTCATTACTATAGAGCAATGACATTCTTATATTTACCAACCCCCTAACTAAAGACTAGTAAACTAAGAAATTGAGCAGTATATTTGCAACACATTAATAAAGGATATCGGATGAGACCATCAATTTTTAACAAGTAAAGAACTTATGCATTTGCAAGAGAGGCTTATGCAAAACTAAGTGCAATTCCAGCGAGGGAGACTCTTTCACATGTTTTTGCAGAAGGTGAAACAGCTAAAGAAACGGTGGTCCTTTTTTGCTGGACCCTTGGGAATGAACTGTGTCAACATTCATCACAGGGACATTTTGAAGAATTGGTAGAGTGCCAAACAATGAAATCACATGCATATGTTGATTTTACACGCAGTTCCGTTACTTATTGCTGGAAGATTTTGAAACGGCGATGCTCGATATGATAGGGGAATACCAAAATTTCAATGGCAAACATGAAGCATCAGATCATGTTTCAAGTTAGCACTATGCTAACTAAGAAATTCCCCAGAATTATTTGGATCATACCTTGACTTGAAATCTGCTAAGTGGTGGAAGCATTTAAACCAAGATTAACCACTATAAAGGTGAAATGTAAGTATCCTAACAAAGGGAAATTTGAAATGAATACTGATGGGAATTAAATGGCCAGAGATGGGGCTGGGTGCAGAAGCGGATGCTGAGTATAAATGTGGAGGGATGGTTATGGCTGTTGCATTCCCTGTAAGAAATGGAAGCAATAATAATTCAGAAGCTGGAGCTGCCTGATATGGTACTTGGTGGTGTTGGAATTATGACTACAGAAAAGTGATTAAGGAGTGCGATTCAGAATTGGTAGTGAACATGCTGAATGCTATATGCAATACAAATTGGAAACTCAAAGGGAAAATTGAAAACCCTCAGGGGNGGTGCAAATCAAAAAAAAAAAAGGGAAAATTGAAGACACTCGACAGATTATGCACCGGAATGGTTTCTAGGATCAACACTGCGATACAGAGGCCAATGAAGTATCAGATGCCTTGGCTAAATGGGTCGCCACATGTAGTGAGACAGCTTTGTACTATGCCTATGGGAAGCTCCCTAAGGAGGCTAAAGGGACATACATGTTGGACAACATGCCGATGTCAAACTTTAGAGTCAGTCAAGTCAAGCCTATTGAATGGACTTGTTTTTGAAAGCTTAAGTGATTATACTCGTATGAAGGAGGAGGGGTCTTAATTTCTTTTTTTGTGTTAACCAAAGTGTAACTGCAAATGAGCCCTTCATACGAGACTTACTTTAACACTGTATTTAGTGTTACATTTAGATAGGAAGTATTAGGAACAGGAATTCTAGTTTCGGCATTGGATTATAGTTGACCCAATCATAATCCCCTTTTCTAA